CCCAGGCTTTTTCAGTTGCCCAGAATGTTCCAAAATGGCGGCAACGCGTCAATAAAGGTTCGTTTTCCCATGGAACAGTCTGCACCAATAAGTTCAAATACCTTTTGGGGACCCCTTTTCTTGGACCCCCATTCTTGAAAAAAGGGCCCCCTAAAATAACGGAAGGGGGCCCATTTCACCCTCACTGGCCAATTTTTAGTATAAACCCTGCTTCTGGTAGCATGACTCTGCCAAGTAATTGCAGTTGACATTTTAATTGCTGTATTTGTATCCTTTGCTTACAACCCTGCTGTGTTGTGTTTTGTAGGATGGTAATATCGTAATCAAGAACATTCAATTTGAGGATGGCCCCCTTGGACACAGAGAAGTCAGCATTACATGGAAAGATCTTATATGTTATCAAAGACTAGAGGTGAGAAGTATAGATTGCGTGTTTCAATATCTCTTGTAATTTTAAGGTTAAACTTCATGTGTGCAGAATCTAATGCAAATGAGCGAGAACAATAAAATTTTCCTTCGAGTAAAAACCAAAAGTTACGGAATGTGGGCGACAACGAGCGAAGGTCAAAACGCTTTTGCTCCAACGCTGTGCTTTGCGCAAGTTTCACGTGACAGATGGTCAAAACACGCGTGAGTGCATGAGTGATAGAAGGGCCAAACGTGCGTAATGAGGCTTCATTCTAAGTGGAAGTCCAAACGAATGCAGGCTACATACATGCGACGCATGCGTAATAACAACCTGTAGATTAGGATTGCTTGTCCCTCTCATCGCCCGCAATTAGCGTTAATTTCGGCACATGCCAGTGAAGCTCGACGTTTAGAACGGGCCTAAGAGAAATCATCACTTGCCCTAATTAGACATAGGCATGGACAACTTGTCAAAGAGGTTAATAAACTAATAAAATGATGTAATGAACAAGAAAGTTAAATTCTCCCAACTATTTTTATAAGGAATTGTATAGTTCAGTATAGAGTATTTATATGTGGATGTACTCGACCACTCATCTCACTCCAGTGTGGTGCGGGTTCATCTGAGGCGGACGGTCATGTTGTGTTTGTTGATGCTTCTCTCCCCCGTGGCTGATTTTTTACCGTGTTGCTCCTTCTCTCTCTTGCTTCAAGAGAGCACGGTAGTTTTCCTCTCGCCTCAAAAACCAACAATTGCAAATGGCAATTCGCCAGATGTGTACAAACATACGAAACCCAGATATTTTCAAATTTACGCGTACATTGTACAAACGTTTGAGATGTAGAGGAAGTGCATCCATGTAATCGTTATTCGTCTACTAATCTTTATCGTATTAGACTGCGAAACAGTCGGTTTTTTTTTCTCAAAATCGTTTTAGCGTAGCTTAATAGTTTCACACTCGCGAAGAGCGCCAGGCTCACACGGTCTCTCCCCAGTCTTGCTCTCCGTTTTCAGCCTCGCTCCAGACCTTTTGTTTGACTGCTTGCGCGTACTTGGATACGCAAAAATACGGACTGTTTTGCAGTCTATGATCGTATGGAAATTTGGAAATGTTGGTTTTCGCAGAGAGGGGAGATCGGAGTACCCGGGGAAAAACCTTTTTGAACAAGGAAAGAACCAATATCAAACTCAAGCCACTTATGGTCTCGCTTCTGGGACCCAGCAACATAAGT